CCCCCATAAAGTGCATATGTTGAAATCCTCACCCCCAAGGTGATGATATTAGGAGACGGGGCCTCTGGGAGGTGATTAGTTCAGGAGAGTGGAGTATTCATGAATGGGATTAGTGCCCTTATAAAAGAGGCCCCAGAAAAACCCCTCATCTCTCCCACTATATGAGAGAACGTTGAGAAGACACCATCTGTGGTCCAGGAAGCCAGCCCTGTCCAGACACCAAATCTGTCAGTACCTTGATCTTGGGCTTCTCAGCCTCCACAATGGCGAGAAACAAACTTCTGGGTAATTTAAATTACCCAGTCTATGGTATTTTGTTATAGCGGCCCAAACAGACTGAGATACCCAGAGACAGAAGGGAGAAAGGACAAAGCAGAAACCAAACTAGGCTGATCCATTCCAGCATCTGGAAACTTCCTTCTTGACACAGCCTCCTCAGGGGTCTACGGGGTAGCAGCCGGCTGAAGGGGGACAGCAGAGAGCAGCTCGTGCTAGGAAAATCCAGGCATCTCTGTCAGGCAGATGCGTTTCAGCTGTGGGAGCCACTGTTTCCAGGTAGCCTGAGACATTTTTAACAACCCAAAGAAATTTTCACTTTAAAAAGTTGGTTCCCTTGGCACCGTTATGGCTTCCCAGGAGAGAGTTTTGGCTTGTTATCACTTATGTCTGTGTTTGCACATCTTGCTAATAGTGCCTTATGATATGCTCTTGAAGATCAATGCAGTATTTACTATTGTTTCTAAGTCTGTGTTACAGGAAATCAATAAATCAAACAAATCCCTTGCCACAGCAGACCAAGAATTTAAATTAGGTGTGATTCTGTGTCCATGAATTACCTTCCTCCTCTCTCCGTCCCAGTGGTGGGCTTGAGACAAGGAAGAAAAACCACCTCGCACAGAACTTAATGAGATGAATCTACTTGCCCCTACCTTTTTCTCCGCCCTAGCAATTCTACCTCCTAGAGCCCCAATGCCCTGTATATTCATTTTATGTAGCAGGTGGCATCCTGAAAACCCCAATCAAGCAAAATTCTCTTCCATCAAGCCCTATTTTAAATATCTTGGAGGAAGAAGAGGCTCCTCCTTAGAAAGATCCTTCTGGTCAGTTTGAATCGTGAGGTTAGGCTAGCCATCATGTCTGGGGACACTGGGCGTTATCTTTGGTCCTTATGCCAGTATTTTCTAAAGAATAAGAAGTTTTAGGCCAGACATGGTGGCTCACACCTGTAATCCCAGCGCTTTGGGAGGCCAAGGCAGGCAGATCTCTTGAGCCCTGGAGTCAGGATCAGCCTGGGCAACATGATAAGACCCCGTCTCTAGAAAACATAAAAAAATAGCCAGGCATGGTGGCATGTGCTTATATTCCCAGTTACTCAGGAGGCTGAGGTGGGAGGATGGCTTGAGCTCGGGAGGTCAAAGCTACATTGAGCTGAGATCACACCACTGTGCTCCAGCCTGGGCAACAGAGCGAGACCCAGTCAAAAAAAAAAAAAAAAAAGTAATTGTAAAAGGCAAATATGGCATTTTTCATTGAATTACTGGAATAAGCATCTCAGTTTTTACCTTTTATTTGGCACTTTTCCAAAACTTTTTTCTTGGATCTCTCCTTATTTTTTATATCTTCATTCAAATGTCACTTTCTCAAACAGTCCTTGCCCCCTCAACCCACTACATCAGTCTTTCTAAATCTTAGCTGGGCATTGGACTATCAGAGAGTGTCAGAAAATAATGATGTCAGGGTCAGGCATGGTGGCTAGCATTTTGGGAGGTTGAGGAAGGCAGATCACTTGAGGCCAGGAGTTTGAGACTAGCCTGGGCAACATAGCAAGACTCCATCTCTACAAAACATCAAAACATTAGCCAGGCATGGTGGTGTGTGCCTGTAGTCCCAGTTACTCAGGAAGCTGAGGCAGGACAATCACTTGAGCACAGGAGTTCGAGGCTTCAGTGAGCTATGCACTCCAGTCTGGGTGACAGAGCGAGACCCTGTCTCAAAAACTAAACAAAAACAGAAAAGAAAAGAATGATGCTAGGCCCCACCCCAGAGCTTCTGGTTGAATCGGTCTGGGATGTAACCTGGACATAGAGATTTTGGACTGATTTTTAATTACATTGGGTGCTGGGATTTGGTGCAACTTTATACAGGGAACTGGCCCATGTGGACACCTTGCTTATATTCAAGTTGCATCTAGCTATGGCCAAAGCTTACAGAAGTATTATCTCCATCTTCACCAATCTCTCCCTGAGATTTGGTGACATAAGTGACCAGTACAACACACACAAGGCTACCTCCGTTTAAGTGCTTATCCTTGACCAAGTCACCAAGGAAGAACTCCAGGCCCGGAATTCTGGAAAAGGAATAACTAAAGCAGTTATTTAGCTTTTTATTTTTTATTTTTGTTTTTTTGAGACAGAGTATCTCTGTTGTCCAGGCTGGAGTGCAGTGGCACGATTTTGGCTCACTGCAACCTCTACCTCTCGGGTTCAAGCAATTCTTGTGCCTCATCCTCCTGAGTAGCTGGGATTACAGGCACACACCACCACACCTGGAAAATTTTTGTATTTCTAATAGAGACGGGGTTTCCTCAGGTTGACCAAGCTGGTCTCAAACTCCTGTCCTCAGGTGATCCACCCGGGCCTCGGCCTTCCAAAGTGCTGGGATTACAGGCATGAACCACCACGCCTGGCCTAAAGCAGTTATTTAGATGCAAAACATTCCAGGAAGAAGCCTACATTCAAGCTTATTTTCCTGCAATGTCCAGTTCTGCCAAAATGCAAGTGATGCAAAGAACATTACGTTTTAAATGTGAGGAAGTACTTTCCTTGCAGATCCAGGCCTGCTCATGGGTACAATAAACTGTTGCCTATGTGATTTGAGGTCAGGGCACCAAAATGCTCCCCTGTCACAAAACGCTCTCTTTATCCTTTGGTCACAAAACCCAGAAAGTCAAACTTCTGGGTGGAAATGTTGTATCTCAAGAAACATGACTCTTGCGATGCAGACTTGCCTGGGAGGATCACTCCTGCATCTCTTCCCATAGATTACCAGACAGCATGGCCCTAAGAGTGGTGGTGGTGGAGATGTTGATGCTGATAACCTAACGATGGCCTCCTCCATTTGTAAGGAGTTGTTAATCCTTCCAAATGTGGATTAAGGCCAGGTGAGGTGGCTCACGCCTGTAATCCCAGAACTTTGGGAGGCTGAGGTGGGCAGATCACCTGAGGTCAGAAATTTGAGACCAGCCTGGCTAAAATGGTGAAAGCCAGTCTCTCCTAAAAATACAAAAATAGCCAGGTGTGGTGGCATGTGCCTGTAATCCCAGCTACTCCAGAGGCTGAGGAATGAGAATCACTTAAACCCAGGAGGCGGAGGTTGCAGTGACCCAAGATCATGCCAGCCTGGGCAAAAGAGCAAGACTCTGTCAAAAAAAAAAAAAAAAAAAAAAGGAGTGGATTAAGCAGTTAAAGCTTGACAATAATTCAGGAGAGTAATTCAGGCATCTTATTCCCACTTTTCCAAACGAGGGAACTCCACGTAGGGATGTTCAGTGAGTTTACGAGGAGTTGTTCATGACTCAGTGGCAAGCCAGCATCTGAAATCACATCTTCTGACTGTTGGGTATCTTATCCCTCACTCCATCTTCTAGGAAGGATATTTTTGGTGATGCACCCCAAAGATAAGCCCCAGCAACCTCTGGGAAAAATATCAAAGCACAGGAGGGGATACCCAAAAGAGACTTCCCCATCCATCTTAGCTGACCTCTCCTTTCTCCTAGGGTCCTACTGTCACTACCCTCAAGCTGGCCACCGACCTCTCAGGCCTCAGAGCTCCAGCCCATTTATTCTCTCTGCACTGGGGATGAGACAGCGAGACTTCACATGTCAGGTCACCCCATTACTTAACATTGGATTTTCTGTGGTGCTTATGAGATATTTCATCAAGTAACTTTAATTGGTTCTAATTTTATCCTTTCATCCTTATTGCAGAGCAGCTCAATTGAATTGTCACGTTCATGCTGAGACAACTAAAAAGTGAATCTCAGAGCTTTTATATAACATATATACATGTATTTATATCATCTGTAGATTCACATACAATGAGCAGGCCTTTGTGCACAGCATGAGGGGGTGATTCAAAGGTCGTTATTTTCTCCCCATGTTGTGAGTTGTCATTTCCTTCACCTTGTACAGAGCTGGCATCTTGCCCAGACAGGTTGGCACTTGTCTTAGTCTGTTTTCATGCTACTGGTAAAGGCATACCAGAGACTAGGTCAGTTATAAAGAAAAGGAGGTTTAATAGATTCACAGTTCCATGTGGCTGGGGAGGCCTCACACTCATGGTGGAAGGTGAGGGAAGAACAAAGACACATCTTACATGGTGGCTGGCAAAGAGAGAGTGAAAACCAAGTGAAAGGGGTTTCCCCTATAAAACCATCAGATCGCATGAGACTTATTCACTACCATGAGAACAGTATAGGAGAAACCACCCCAATGATTCAATTATCTCCCACTGGGTCCCACCCACAACATGTGGCAACTTTGGGAGCTACAATTCAAGATGAGATTTGGGTGGGGACACAGCCAAACCTTACCAGCACTCTTCAGATTTAGCCTGTGTGGGGTCTGGGTGTGGGTGGGTTTCCACCACCGTCGAGGGCCTCTCATACCCTAATGCAGCTCTGAGGAAGAGGGTTATCACCTTGGCTATGTGGCACTGGAAGGGGCCCAGTCTCAGCATGGGGGTGGGGCGTCTGGACATCCTCTCCTGGACACTCCATGGGCCTGAGCAGTCAAGCTGCCACGGAATTATCACCCCACAGTGCCCAGGTAAACAGTGAATGTAGCGTCCATTAGGTTGGTGCAAAAGTAGTTGCGGTTTTTGCCATTACTTTTCATTGCAAAAGTCGTAATTACAATAAAATTCTAACAAATGCTCCACAGCAACCACCCAGGCCTCCAGGGTGTGCCAGCATCCCCACGCCAAAGGTTCTAATGTCCTACCTTTTCCCCGTGCTCTGTGCTGCTCCTGGCCCTGTGACCCTCCTGTGTCTCCTCCCTGGGCGGGAAGAGAAGCTTCTGTGCTCTGCTTCATCCTTGATTCCAAGAAGCCTGTTTTGGGAAAAATAATTTAAAACCTTCTGTACTTTGTTTTGTGCTGTCTTTTCCCCTCCTACTATCCATTTTTCCTCAAGGCTATATCACATCTCATCTCTGCTCCTGAGTCCCAGAGCAGTTCATATGAGGAAGAGGGGAAAAAGGAAAATCACAAATAACACAATTCCAAAACGTATCTTGCTTCAAGCGCCATTTCAGCCCTTCACAGCCCTGCTCTTGCAATTGCATCTGCCAGGAATGCCCTGCCTTCGCTTTGCCCCAGGTCACATCTCTCACTTTCTCCAGCCTCCTTCTCGAGTCACCTTCTCCGTGCTCCCCTGCCCATGCCCTGGGCGTGCTTTGATTATGGTGCCTCCATGCTGTTCACGGGGTCTCCAGAAGACATCGGGGGTTGTCCTGGGTTGGGTTCCCTCAGAAGCAGAGCCGCTGACAAGGGTTTGCATGCCAGCTATTTATTTGGGAGGTGATCCTAGGAAGCACAGTCGGTGGGGAAGAGAGATAGAGGAGGAGGGCAGCAGCCTCTAGAGGGGTTGTCACCACCGCGGGCCCCTGGGACCCATGCATGCCAGTGAAGAGCATGCATCTCACGGTTTCTCCCCGGGAGTGAGGCTCCATGCACTGACTCCTGTCCATCACTGGAGGAGCATCTGGCACTTTTGCCACCTGTGCGTAGGCAGAGAGGCTTCTGGAAGCCAATGCAAGCAACAGGCAAAGAGATGCCAGTCCTGGTGGGGCAGTCAGGCTGCCTCGGCTCTGCAGGCGGAAGGCCTACGCAGATACGGGCGAGCATATTATGAGCTGCCTTTCAGGGCCAGGATTATTGCTTGTTTATTCATATGTGCATTTCTGTTGCCCCATTGAGGCCCTGATATGCTGTGAGTACCTATAAGATGAAAAGAACAAAGACAGGACAAGCAAACAATACAAAAATAGCTGCCTGGAACCATTAGCCAGAACGAGAGATGTGCAGAAAGCCTGCTACATGATGCACTGTTTTCCTCTCTCTAGAAGCCTGTCTTTAGAGTTTCTCCACGTCTGGGCATCCCATCAGTGGACTGATGTTTCATGGCTGAAAACATTTAATTCTATTTTTTTAATGTATAAAAATCAACAACAGGCTGGGCACGGTGACTCATGCCTGTAATTCCAGCACTTTGGGAGGCTGAGGTAGGTGGATCACTTGAGGTCAGGAGTTCAAGACCAGCCTGGCCAATGTGGTGAAACCGCATCTCTACTAAAAATATTAAAAAAAAAAAAAACATTAGCCAGGCATGGTTGCGTGCGCCTGTAATCCCAGATTCTCAGGAGGTTGAGGCAGGAGAATCACTTGAACCCAGGAGGCAGAGGTTGCAGTGAGCCAAGATGGCACCACTGCACTCCAGCCTGGGTGACAGAGCGAGACTTCGACTCAAAAAAAAAAAAAAAAAAAAAATACCACAAACAATCAATAACAGCTAACAAATCACATTAGCTGGTTCAGAGAAGAGACCACAGAGTGTCAGGGAAGGGCAAATAGCCCTGCACCATAAGAATCCAGCTGGACTTGCCTAATATGTAGGAAATGAACACCCCTCACTACTGCTTCCCTTAAATAAGGGCATTATGCTTGCATGAAAACATTGATATTATGTGTCTCTCTATTCCCTGTTACCTGAGAATTCCAGCGGACTTGCTCACCATGACAGGCCACGAAAGCACAAACAGGGAACACAGATTGCCTAAGGGCTCTTCTGAACCAAGGATCACCTGAGAGGTGATAACTGAAGCCATAGCTTGGAGGTTCTTTCACCTAGATCGAGCCATGCCTGAATTCTACATACTCCTCATACTATTCAATTAGGTTAGACAACAAATTACTTTTTTGCTAAATATACTTGAAGCTGGGTTTCTATTCCTCATGACTCAGAGTCCAGATTAACCCTCCACTCACTCTTTGCAGAAACAAAATTCCTCCTTGTCACAGCAGATCTCTGTTCTCTCCAGGTTCTGCCCCCTAGTTCACTGATTCACTGTGAAACCTTGAAAACAGTGCCCACCTCTTTATAACCTCAAATCGCTCCCCAGAATCCTGGTGACTTCTCTGATTAGTCTCTTTCTGTCTCTCTCTCTGTCACCCCTACTCATCTTGACCACCCTCCCTACCACCACCACTAGCCAGTCAAAGATGGAAAGTGTAGACACCGCAGTTTTTATTAATTAAATGCCTTACAGCTTTCTGGGGAAGTTCTCTCCTAGTTTTGAGTCTAATATGGTTCTGTAGCACAAACCCCCCTAAATCATTCATCCATGAACATCCAAGGAAGATTTTTGGGGCACTGTGATGGTTGATTTTATACGTCAACTTGACGGGGCCACAAGATGCCCATGTATCTGCTTAACATTATTTCTGGTATGTCGGTGAAGCTGTTCATGGAAGATATTAGCATTTGAGTCAGTGAACTGAGAAAAGCAGCTGACCCTCCCCAGTGTGGGTGGGCCTTGTCCAATCCATTGAGGACCTGAATAGAACAAAACGGTGGAAGAAGGTTAGATTCCCTTTCTGTCTGACTGAGTGAGCTGGGACATCAAGCTTCAGAGCCCCTGATTCTGAGGTCTTCAGATCAGATTAGAATTGACCCCATTGACTCTTCACCTCTCAGGCCTTCCAACTATGCAACCTGCTTTCCTGGGTCTCCAGCTTGCGGACAGAAGATTGTGGAACTTCTCAGCCTCCATTATCATGTAAGCAATACCTTATAATACATCTGTTTATAGAAATATCTTATTGGTTCTATTTCTCTGGAGAACTCTAATACAGAAATGGACTGGTGGCTACTTACCCAGTCTTCATTCTCTCTATCCAATATCCATTTCCCACTTCTTCCTTAATAACAGAACCCAATATTGCTCTCAATGGCAAGGTGCTCAGTTACAATATTGCATTTCCCAGACTCCCTTGCAGTTGAGGGTAGTCATGTGTCACAGTCCTGACCAATGAGCTCTCAGCGTAAGTCTCTGGTTGGGGCTTCCAGGAGCATTCCTTAGAGAAGATTAAACAAGAGAGCAGCTACTCTTTTTTGTTCCTCATTCTTTAAGTTTTTCCTTCCTGGGATATGAATGGGATAGCTCTAGTAGTTACATTGTGGCTGTGAAAGCCACGCTTCTAGAGTGGTCACCTAGAAGGAGCCCAGATTGCTGAAGACATTGTGAGGCTGCTGTTCCAGTTCCAGGCTCTCAGCTTTCAGATTTTTTATTATAGGATATATATATTTAAAAAAGCAGCTCTATTTTCTCTAAATCACTTGTTACTTGATATGCACTTCTATGTATGCCATTCCTGTTTAAAATAAAGTTCTCTAAAAGTAGATCTACCATTCGATCCAGTAATCCCACTACTGGGTATCCACCCAAAGAAAAATAAGTCACTGTATCAAAAAGACACCTGCACACGTATGTTGATTGCTGTACAATTCACAATTGCAAAGATATGGAACCAACCTAAGTGCCCATCGACCAAAGATAAAGAAAATTTGGCATATATACATCAAGGAATACTACTCAGCCATAAGAAAGAATGAAATATAATGACTTTTGCAGCAACTGGATGCAGCTGGAGGCCATTCTTCTAAGTGAAGTAAGTCAGGAGTGGAAAACCAAATACCACATGTTCTCACTAATAAGTGGGAGCTAAGCTATGGGTAAGCAAAGGCACACAGAGTGATATAATGGACTTTGGAGACTCAGAAGGAGGGTGGGAGGGTGAGGGAGAAAAAACTCCATATTGGGTACACTGTACATTACTCAGGTGATGGTTGTGCTAAAGTCTCAGATTTCACCACTGTACAATTCATTCATATAACCAAAAACCAATTGTACCCCAAAAGCTACTGAAATAAATATATTTTAAAAAATAAAATAAAGTTATCTAAGCCATTCAAAACAGAGTGTATTGCTGATGCTTTTTTTTTTTTTTTTCTTTTTCTGAGACAAGGTCTCCTCTGTCGCCCAGATTAGAGTGCAGTAGTGTGATCATGGCTGCAGCCTCAACCTCCCTGTGCTCAAGCAATCCTCCCATCTCAGCCTCTCGAGTAGCTGGGACTACAAGTGCATAGTAGCCACCACACCATGCTAATTCTTTGTTTATTGAGACAGAGTCTTGCTCTGTTGCCCAGGCTGGAGTGCAATGGCGCAATCTCAGCTCACTGCAACCTCCCCCTCCTGAGTTCAAGCAATTCTCCTGCCTCAGTCTCCCGAGTAGCTGGGATTACAGGGATACACCACCTTGTCTGGCTAATTTTTGTATTTTTAGTAGAGATGGGGTTTCACCATGTTGGCCAGGCTGGTCTTGAACTTCTAACCTCAAGTGATCTGCCTGCCTCGACCTCCCAAAGTGCTGGGATTCCAGGTGTGAGCCACTATGTCCAACCCAATGTCTTCTTTTACTGCAGTGGTGCTCAGTGTTGGCTGCACATTAGAATCACCTAATGTGCTTTAAAAATGTCAGTGCCTGGGTCCCCTTTAGAGATTCTTATGTAATTGGTCTGGGGCATGGCCCAGGCCTTGGGATTTTTAAAAGCTCTCAGGGTGCTTCTAATGTGCAGCCAAGGCTGAGAACACACTGCTCCTCTCTTTTCCAAGGTAGAGTAATTGGCTAATTGACTCCCTCATCACTCTCATTAAACACTAATGAGAACTGCCGTGTCCCAGGCTTACAGCCCAGCAGCTCTAAACTTGAGCAGGCATCAGAATCACCTGGAGAATTTGTTAACACACAGATTGCAGGCCCCATCCCCACAGCTTCTGATTTAATGGGTCTGGAGTGGCCCAGGTAATCTGCATTTTTCACAGCCACTCCCCGCCCCGCCCCCAACCAGGTGCTGCTGGTGCTGCTGGTGCTGCTGGTGCTGCTGGTCACTTTCCTGGGGTTGTGGGGTTTTTTTTTCTTTTTTGCCTCCCACGTCTTCCTTCTGTGTTCTCGTCCTGCTCTCCCACCCACCTCTAGGTCTCAAGGGCTGTTTGCTTTGCTTTGCTATTTACCTGCTATTAAAAACAGCAAAAAACTTGTTCCCTTTTAAAAGAATTTTAGGCAGTGGCACTTGAGAAACTAAGCCAGGACTCTTCCCTCCTTTAGGTCTGAATATAATAATTTCCACTTGTCTTCCAAGTCTCCACTTGGATGTCACCTCCTTCAGGAAGTCTTCCTTTGGGCCCCCAAGCCTCTGCCCTCAGGGCCCCTGGCACTTCCATCTCCTCACATTTGGGTGTAATTACCTAGTTGAATCTCTAGTCTCCTAAAGACAGGAACACATTTTATCTCCGTAGGCCCAGGACGCTGCACACGGTGCGTATGCAGTAAGAATTCTCCTGCATGAAAGAAAGAGGGTGGCTTACCGGGCATGGTGGCTCACGGCTG